CGCACGCCTTTAATCCCAGCACTCGGGAGGCAGAGGCAGGCGGATCTCTGTGAGTTCAAGACCAGCCTGGTCTACAAGAGCTAGTTCCAAGACAGGCTCCAAAACCACAGAGAAACCCTGTCTCAAAAAAAAAAAAAAACATAGTTGACACCTCTATTGGGATAATTCACACATAATCAATCAAGTAAACAGCTCATTCTGTAGGTCTGAAGTTTGAAAGCACTCTTGATGATTAATGAACATTTAATGCCGATGGCCCAGCACCTCATTAGATCACCCACCCAAAGCCACAGGATCCTCGGTGGGAAATGAACATTGTCAGTAAGCACAATTAAAATCCAGAGAAAATATATCCTGATTGCTCGACACTTGGGAATAGGGGAGGTAGGGGAGATGATTCAACATTCCTCCAAGGTCACAACCTCTTTATCGTCCACTCTGCCTGTCAGTTATCTCCTGCTTCAGACTCTGACCTTGGCCTACTGGCTCCTTGAAGTCACCCAACCTGGCCTCTTTGGGGATTGCTGGTTCTGTGTTCCTCCTGGCGCTAGCTCACAACTTCCACTTACAGCTTCTCCTATAGCCTTACCTCACCTTTCACCAGCTGCCCCAGTCCAGTGTTGCCATGACTCCCTACCTCTTTCATATCACTCTCATTGCCATGGCAAACTGCTTTAAGGTGTCTGGGACACATTTTGCAGAGACATTAAATCTCCTAGACTGCAACAAAACCTCAACCCTCAACACCAGCTCAGTCTCAGTGCCCTGTCATCCATAACACCTCGGTTCTTTGTGGTACTCAAGTCTACTATCGCCTACCTGCTAATTGGTCAAGAGTTTGTGTGTTCGTATTTCTCTTCCCAAGTTGGGAGTGATAGAGAAAAGCCCCTACTAATTCTGGCCGTGCACTCAGTAGCTGCCCAACATAATAAAAGGTGGTTCAAATCTTGCCCCTTCTGGCTGTTGCAAGAATAACTGCAGGTGTTGCCACTGGGACAGTTGAAGAAAACACAAGGAAAAAAGAAATCCAACCCAAGCCTGCTCAGGGGGCAATTTTCTCCAAGCAAGTAGAACTGTCTCAGCACTTCTAAACTATTTATTCTCAGGATACCTGAAGAAAAACAAACGAGTCCAACTGAGATGTCTGGTCAATTCACATCCAGGAGGAAGAAAGAATCTATCCCTGGACATCTGGTTGACCTGCTGCATCCATGAGAAAGAGAGGCTCACTTCCCGGGGAAGTACTGGTATACCCCATATGTTCCTACTTCCTGGTCCTGCCTCTGAGATATGATAAGAACTCTGTCTCCCCCCTGTGGTTGGAGTTGAACAGACTCACTTTCAAAGCTCTGCCTCTCTGTTCTTTCTTGCTTGGTTTTTGTTTTGTTTTTATTATTTATTTGATTTTTAATTATGTGTATATGGAGGAGTTGTGTACACATGTGGGGGAAGGTGGCTGCAGAGTCCAGAAGAGGCTTTGGAGCCCCTGAAAATGGAGTTACAAGTGGCTTGAAGCTCTCAATGTAGTTGCTGGGAATCAAACTCAGGTCCTCTGTGAGAGCAACGCATGCTCTTAGCCCAGCGTTTCTCAGCCTGAGGGTCACGACCCCTTTGGGAGGGTCAAACAACCCTCTCACAGGGGTCACTTAAGACCATCCACATATCAGATATTTACATTATAATTCATAGCAGTACCAAAATTACAGTTATGAAGTAGCAATAAAATAATTTTATAGTTGGGGGTCACCATAGCATGAGGAGCTGTATTAAAGCCAACGTCACAGCATTAGGGAGGTTGAGAGCCACTTGTCTTAGCCACTGAACCATCTCTCCAGCCTCAGGATAAGCACATTTATTGGCAGTGTTTTCCCCCTGTACCAATAACACTGGGGCTTTATCCCTAAAGCAGCCCACTTGTCTCGTGTGGGTCCACGCAGATAGGCTGGAAGCCAGCCAGGCTGACCCACCTGCCACTTCAACGAACGAAGATGTGGTGAGAGGTGAGAAAGATGGAAGAGCCAAGTGGGGTGTGCGCTATGGAGAAAGGTGGGACTGGAGATGTGAAGACAGTGGTGACAGGTGTGAAAGAGCTGAGGTCAATGGTGGAACATGTCTGTGCCCAGTGGGGTTGACAGGGTCGTGTGCATAAGCCTGGAGCTTATAAGGATGCAGACTCAGCCCCCAAACACACCTCCAGGCCATGGGGCTGTCCTGGATCCGGGCAATGATGGAGGCCCAAGATAAGGAATGGTTCACTTTCCAGGACTGGACTCCTCAAAGGATCACTGTGGTTCATGGATGCCACTGAGGCCCATGTGTGATTAGTGGTCCTGATGCAGCCGGGGACTGAATTAATGGACTTGGCTCATGTTACCACCTAACATCATTCAGATGTGGGTGATCTATGCCTCGGCTTGGAGCCATGTTGATATCCATGAGCCATGTTGATGTGAGTGTCCTGTGCCATGTCTGAATCTGTGCTGCCACCAAGGGCCATGTCTATGTCCAAGGTCCTGTTGCGTCTGGGGTCTGTGTTGATGTCTAGGACCATGTTAACCACCAAAGGTCATACAGATGTCCATGGTCTATGCTGCAGGCTGAAGCCATGTGATGTCCACCACATGAGTGACCTGCACTGCCACTTGAGGCCATGACTGTGGTCCAGGCTTTCTCTAGGTCTGTGGCCCTATTATAGCTGAGAACCTTGTTTGTAGTCTGTGCTGTCACCAAAAACCATGTGGAAGCTTGTGGTCCATGCTCCCATCTACTGTAAAGAGCAAGGAAGCTGCCTTTGCAGTGATATTGATGGCTGCAAAGTTGAGAAAGAGGGACATGGAAGGATTCAGTGACAACCCTTACTCTCTCCCCAACACCCACCCAAAAAAATAAGTTACAGCCTAAAAAGGAAGTCATCAAAAGAGAACTCTTAAGAAATGTATTAAGTGTGTATTAAGGAAAGCTAAAGTGTAGCTTTCCACAATTGATGGCTTCCAGTGGGGGAGTAGGAGGGGAAAGACTCCATTCTATTTAAGGGGGGGGGGCCACTGATAGTTTGACCACACTCTGGTAAATCTATAGATAACACAAATTGGACTCTCTTCATTTTATTCAGGAAAGGTGACAAGGGTAAGGGGAGCAGATACGAAAGAACTGGGCAATGAGTGTAATCAAGATATATGATACGAAATTCCCAAAGAATCAATAAAAATATTATATTAAAAACAATCATGCATTGAACTAACCACCAATGAGTGGAGAAGGTGGTATCAGGATTAATGAGGTTTTAATGGGAGTTTAAGGTGACTGTTTCAATGTGTGACCAAAAGGAAGCTGCAGTTTGCAGATGACGAGCCAAATAAACAGCCATTCTAGCTACAGCAAAGCCCAAGTGCTTCCTTACTTACAGCCTCCCATTATCCAACCCAAAGCATTAGCCATCCACGCTGTATACACACCCACCACCTAGTCACTCGCTAGTATCTCAGTCATCAGATGATTGTGGCCAGGGAATCACCGAGCCCCGCTTTTCATAATTTCTCTGTGTTTAAAACAGGGAAGTCAGGCGGAACCAATGAACCCTTCCTGATCCCTAGAAATGGACCAGGGACAGCACAGGTGAGGCTGGCTTCACATTGGTCACCATGTCCACCCCCTCTCATAATGACACTGCAAAAGTCCAAAGCTGTCCTCTACCATACACGTGGCTCAGCTGCCAGAATGAACTTGCCTCCTAGTGGACATTCTGGGCCACGGCTTTTATTTATGCAAATAAAAGATAAGGGCAATAGCCTGGCCAGGCTGTGGACTTGAGCACCTTAAAATGGGACATCAGGCGGCACCCAGATTGAGATGGGAAGGGAGGGATATTTTAGTAATAAACAATGTCCCAGTACTTATGTGAGGAAGGAAGAGGAAAAAAGGAAGACTGGGAAGATCATGTGTTCGGTCTCTGGGGGGGCGGGGGCTGAAATGCCCTGTGGGAGTAGCCCTGAGTCTCTCTGGGGAGGGGTCACCATTTGGCGGGCTTTCTCAGAGGTGGAGTCTGGACTGAGGCAACCCCCAGAGGAAAGAGCCTGGAAAGGAGGCCTCCGCCCAAACACTTCAAACTCCCAGACACACGGATGCCTGAGACCGGGGTGACCCCGACCCGAACATTCCAGACTCTTTGACAGAAAGATGTCCGCAGCTGGGGTGAAGCTTCCAACCAAACAGTTAGGATGGACCAACCCAAGGCCCAGGATGTGGGCCTGGGTGATAGGTAACTGAGCTGATCCGTCTAGGTCTAGGTCCAGGTCACTGGGACCACCCTCCTCAGGCAAGGGGCTGAGCCAGCTCTCATAGGCCCATGGTAAAGGGCATTTTCTTAAATAGTGATTGATGGGGGAAGGCCCATTGTGAATGGAGCCATCCCTAGGCTGGTGGTCCGAGACTCTATAAGAAGCTCCTGCCTCCAGGTTCCTTCCCTGCTTGAGTTCCTGTCCTGATTTCCCTCAGTGATGGACTGTTACCTAAACATGTAAGCCAAATAAACTGTTTCCTCCCCAACTTGCTTTGGTCGTGGTGTTTCATCCCAGCAATAATAACCCTAACTAGGGTAAGCGTTTACTGGGAAAGAAGGCTCACAAAATCAATTTGTTTTG